AGTGTATTAATTTTATCAAGAATGAAAAGTGTTAGTTTTCTTACAAGTTAAAAATTTTTTAACAGCCAAATTATTATTTGCTTAACAAGGAAATAAATCATGCAGTTATCATAAATGGTAATGAAAAGGATGAATTGAGAATTTACCATGCCAAGAGATGTGAAATGTGGCTAAAGAGCTGTGAGGGTAATGGGGAAAGTCAAAGCTACACTGGAGCAATTTTTACAGCCTTTGAATGCATGCATATACATGAAAATCTGAAAGCTAAACTCATGCACTAAACATACTACTCAAGAGTACCAGACACCCAGGCAGTGAAAGAAGGAAATAACAGAAAATGATTAAATAAAGTGACCATCTTAGAATAATCTCAGTTTTTATTTCTTCCTGATCCAGAAATAATCTAAATTTAGGAGATTTCTTAATTTCCACATTGTTACACTGTTTTATGTGACGGGTGCAGACCACCATTGGTTGCCATACCAGCAGCCATACCCAGTTCCCCTTGTTATTGGCAGCATCTGTGTCTTGCCTTAGACAGGATATCAGATGCTAATTTTCCAGCCTCATGTGCAGCACAGCATGGCCTGGCCAGTATCAGTCTTGCTAAGTGGGATCTGCTGGGGCTTCTGGGATTTTCCTCATTTGGAAGAGACAGGTTTATCGTGAAGACTTCCTCCTCCCTCTCTTCCTGCTTTTAAATATTTTTCTATGAGAACATGATGCCTGGAGCTGCTGCAGCTCTCTTGGAACCAAGAAAACAAAAAAGTAGACCTCAGAGAAGCTGACTCAGAGCCCGAGAAGACTCAGCTACTAGGCCAATTCTGGAACTGCCTCTTTGAAGCTTTGTTATGTAAGAAAAATAAACCTTGATTGCTGAGTTACTTTTAGTTGGATATTTTGTAAATTTGCAGCCAAAAGCATCCTAAATGATATAATTTCAAATTTAATTTTATTATGATTAGTAAATGTGGCCTGAAAATACCTCCTTTTTTGAATTTGACTTTTTTTTTTTTTTTTGAGACAAGAGTCTTGCACTGCCACCAGGCTGGAGTGCAGTGGTGCGATCTCAGCTTGCTGCAAACTCCACACTCCCAGGTTCAAGCAATTCTGCCTCAGCCTCCTGAGTAGCTGGGACTACAGGTGCGAACCACCACGCCCAGCTAATTTTTTAATTTTTTTGAGACCGAGTTTCGCTCTTGTTACCCAGGCTGGAGTGCAATGGCACGATCTCGGCTCACCGCAACCTCCGCCTCCTGGGTTCAGGCAATTCTCCTGCCTCAGCCTCCTGAGTAGCTGGGACTACAGGCACGTGCCACCACGCCCAGCTAATTTTTTGTATTTTTAGTAGAGACGGGGTTTCACCATGTTGACCAGGATGGTCTCGATCTCTTGACCTCATGATCCACCTGCCTCAGCCTCCCAAAGTGCTGGGATTACAAGCTTGAGCCACCGCGCCCGGCTAATTTTTGTATTTTTAGTAGAGACAGGGTTTCACCATGTTGGCCAGGAGGGTCTCGAGCACTTGACCTTCTGATCAACCCACCTTGGTCTCCCAAAGTGTTGAGATTACAGGTGTGAGCCACCACACTGTGCCAATTTGACATTTTTTTTTGTGTGTGGTTAAGTACAAGATTGATTTCTATATATGGTCCATGAACATTGAAAAAATAGGTATTCTACATTTTTGGATACAAGTTTCTAAATAAGTCTGTTAAGCCACTAGATTGCAATGGTAAAAATCTCCCTGTTTTTATGTAATTTGGTATGCTGGATCAGAATTTCCTAAAAATTTTTTGCAAATGTCTTGAATTTCCAGACGTCTTTGTTTATCTTGTTTGACCTACAGGGACATACTACTAACCCTCTATTTATGAATCATACCTTTATCTTTACATAATATCCCATTTTGCCTACTGCAGCGTCTAAAACCCAAATCCAGCCTTCTGCCTGGTTTATAAAGTCTCATTGTGACACATTGCATTTATGATCTACAGCTGCTTTTGCTTCACTACAGCAGAGCTGAGTAGTTGCAACAGAGATTATATAACAGGCCATAACACCTGTATTTACTGTCTGGTTCTTTTTTTTTTTTTGAGATGGCATCTCAAACTGGAGTGCAGTGGCGCAGTCATGGTTCACTGTAGCCTCAACCTCCCATTCAAACAGTCCTACCTCAGCTTCCTGAGCAGCTTGGACCAGAGGCATGTGCCACCATGCCATGCTAATTTTAAAAAATAGGTATTTTGTAGGTAGGTTTTTCCTGTGTTGCCCTGGATGGTCTCAAACTCCTAGGCTCAAGCAATTCCATGTTGGCCTCACAAAGTGCTGAGATTACAGGTGTGAACCACTGCACCTGGCCTTGTCTGGTTTTCGATTAAGTTTGGGACAGGCATGACTCCCGTCTGTAATTCCAACACTGGGAGGCCGAGGCAGGAGGATCACTTGATACCATGAGTTCTAGACCAGCCTAGGCAACAAAGGGAGATCCCCATCTCTACAAAGAAACAGAAAAAGTAGCCAGGTACGGTGGCATGCCAACAGTCCACCTACTTGCAAGGCTGAGGTGAAAGGATCATTTGAGCCCAGGAGTTCAAGGTTGCAGTGAGCTGTTATCACACTATGCACTCCAGCCTGGGCAGCAGAAGAAGACCTTGTCTCAAAAAAAGAAGTTTGCCAACCCCTGACCCAGAGTAATTCTTTTGGTATTTTATTCCCACACTGTGTAATGCCAATGAATAATAATGATTTCTCTTTATCTGGTATGTTTTTGCCTGTTGGTTTTCGACATCTGTCACCTTATATAAAAATAACACTCACTGTTCCACAGTAAGTAGTATATGCAAACCTACCTGCTAAGGTGGAGGGAACAGAAAAGCTGAAGAAAGGCTGGCAAAGCCAACTTCTCAGAAAGAAACATTTAATAGGGATGACAGAACAGAAGTAGTTTCTCCAGTAGCTGTGAGATGGTGGATTCCTGTACCCACAATATTACAAGCTTTTTTGGTAGAACGTATGCATGCACCTCATCACTTTTCAGATCCTCTTTTTTTTTGAGATGGAGTTTCGCTCTTGTTACCCAGGCTGGAGTGCAATGGCGCAATCTCGGCTCACCGCAACCTCCGCTTCCTGGGTTCAGGCAATTCTCCTGCCTCAGCCTCCTGAGTAGCTGGGATTACAGGCACGAACCACCATGCCCAGCTAGTTTTTTGTATTTTTAGTAGAGACGGGGTTTCACCATGTTGACCAGGATGGTCTTGATCTCTCGACCTCGTGATCCACCCGCCTCGGCCTCCCAAAGTGCTGGGATTACAGGCTTGAGCCACCACGCCCGGCCCAGACCCTCTTTTGAAACTCATGACCCAGTGGGAAAGTTAGATAAGTATCTTTATGAGGCATTATCTATGCTGAAGTCATTGTTTCTTGATCTTGCTGAAGGACTGTCTTGTGCAGGAGTCAAACGTTGATCATTATCACAGTTTCACTTCAAGATAGTGTTACTCTTGCTATGCAAAAGGCTGCTTTCCTACAAGTCATGTGCTGCTAATTTCTAAATTTTTTTGTAGAGACAAGGTCTTAGTATGTTGCCCAGGCTGGTCTTGATCTTTTGGGCTTAAGTGCTCCTCCCACCTGGGCCTCCCAAAGTGCTGGGATTATAGGCCATACCCAGCCTAGAGAAATTTGTTAAAATAGAATAAAACTAGCAGACTTACACGACCAAATTTCAGCACTTCTCTAAAGCTATATGAAACAGATTATTTCAGAAGTGTACCCATGATAGTTAACTGAATTCTGCAAACGGTGCCAATAACAATGTAAGGGAGAAAATGAAAGCCATCTCCCAAAACTGGTGTTACTATGGGTCAATAATATGGGGGGAAATATACTTCAACCTTTATGTTCCTGGATCAAGCTGAGGGTCGGGCTGCTATTTATTGAGGCCCAATAACAAGATGCAGATAAATTGGGGAGGAAGAGAGTTTTTATTTCTGTAGCCAGTTACAGAGAGAGGCCTGGAAATTATCAACAGACCAACTCTAAATTACAAAGTTTTCCAGAGCTTATATACCTTCTAAGCTATATGTCTATGTGTAAGTGTGCTTTCATCTAAAGACATAAGTGATTAACTTCTTTTAATCTATGACTAAGGTCTGAGTCTTGAAGACCTTTCTCTGGACCCTCAGTAAATTTACTTGATCTAAATGGGTTCAGGTTCTGGGGTGATTACCCTTATCCTGTCTCCTGCTAAACCACAGGGGTTTGGGGAGTTCCTTCAGACCTCCACTTGTTTGTGGAGGCATAGAGAGTTTCTTCAGACCCCCAATAAAAGCTGTTTCATCCTAAATGGGTCCAATTAAGAATTCCTTCATTATTTTGTCATGCTTTAAGGTCCAGGAAAGGCCTAGGCAAAACTCTTGGTGGGCTTTTGTTACATTTCAGCCTTTGTATAAGGGCACTGGCTTTTAACATTTAACGTAACCACTCAGTCAGTACTGAAAGTTTTTATGAAGGCCTGAGTTTGGTGAGATCTGGAATGCCACACCAGCACTTTGGGAGGCCGAGAGAGAAGGAATGCTTGAGCCCAGAAGTTCAAGACAAGCCTAGGTAACACAGCAATACTTCATCTCTAGAAAAAACAAAAAAATTAGCCAGGCATGGTGGCACACGCCTGTAGTCCCAGCTACTCAGGAGGCTGAGGCTGGAGAATTGCTTGAGCCTAGGAGGTCGAGGCTGCAGTGAGCCACGATCAATATGATGAATTCGTGTATAATATGTCGAATTTTCACAAAGCAATCCGCTCATCAGCAGATCCCTGATCAAGAAACTGAATATTACCAGCACTTCCAAGATTTCCCAAGATTGCTTCAAGACACACCTCTTGCTATCCTGAATTTTGTCACCATAAATGAAGCAGACTACAATATATTTAATGAATAATTAAAAAAATTTTTTTTATTCTTCAGATGCCAGTATTTTCTTTCTCTTTTAAGAGACAGGGGTCTTGCTATGTTGTCCAGGCTGGAATGCAGTGGCTATTCACATGTGTGATCGTGATGTACTATTATGATGAAGTGCTGAGCTGAAGTGATCCTCCTGCCTCGGCTTCCCAGGTTGCTGGGACTACAGGTGTGTGTCACTGTGTCCAGATGCCAGTATCTTTTCTATGACTACATCTTCTAAAAGATCAGAAAAAGACATATACAGGTTGAATATCCCTAATCTGAAATGCTTCAAAATCTGAAACTTGTTGAGTGTTGACATAATATTAAAAAAGAAATGCTCATTGGAACATTTTGAATTTTGGATTTAGGATGCTCACCAGTAGTATAATGCAAATGTTCAAAAAAAAAAAAAAACCCAAAATCTGAAATACTTCTGGTCCCAGGCATTTTGGATAAAGGATACTCAGCTTATACAATAATATTCATAGCAGTTTTATTAACAGCGAAAAACCTAGAAACACCCCAAATGTCTATCAACAGGAAAATGAGTAAGTAGACTAACATATTAACACAATGGAATACTCAGCAGAACAACAACAAATAATGGACATCAGTGAATATCAAGAAACATTATGTTGAGCTAATGAAGCCAGACACACACATACAAAATACTTGACTTCATTCATGTGAAGCCAAGCAAAACAAATCCACTGTCATCAAAACAAGAAATTGGTTTCCTTTTCTAAGAAACAAGAAATCCTTCATCAAACAAGAAATCCTTTTCCTTTGAGGGTCAGGAAAGGGAAAAATAGATGAAAAAATACTTGCAAGAGTGATGGAAATCTATCTTGATGGTAAAAATATAAACGGAGTTAAGAAAGCACTGGAAACATGGAGAAAATGGGATAAAAACTGGTGGTTAAAAAAGGCTGTAAGCTCAAATATTTCACATCAAAATACAGAAACAATAAAGTGATAAAAATGTTTTTTTTTGCATAGTTGTTATATGATTATACATAAATCATATTTATGTATTTGAAAAGAAAAATAAAACAAATTTTAAAAATTAAAATTAGTTAAAAAAATTAAAATTAAAAAAATAAATTTTTATTTTTCTTTTCAAATACATAAATATAATTTAACAATTTCACGGGTAGCTTCAGTCATAATAAACAGAATGTATAGGGAAAATATTGCCTCTTTTCCTAAAAGAAGGAAAATAAAAGTGTCCCCTCAAAAAGAAAATCTATTTTTCAAATAAAAAGTGACTACACTTAGCAGGCTAATAATCAAATCTGGTTGTTTTTGCACAAAATATCAGAGACCAGGCAAACACCCTGAACAGAACCTGTGACTCCATCTGTGGAATTCTTGGAAATAGCTTTAAGCTGCCCAACTTCAAACTGGAACCTGTAATCCCAAACATTATCTTTCACTAATGTTCCTAGTAAATGGCCTGACCTCGTTAACCTGGACTTTCATGCTCAAGACGTCAATCACATTCCCATTCCCCCAAATTTCCAAAGGCAGATTACCATTACTGAGTCTGAACCACTCATTAGCATTTTCTATGCTGCGTCCTCTCAGTCTGGGGCTGTACAGAATGTCAAAGATGACTGAGTATTCACCTTTACTTCAAGAAGATGACAGTCTCCAGATAATGGCTCTCGTCTTCTCTAGGGAATGTATCTTTGACCCCCAAATAGTGCTTAAAAGACGACTGGTGACAGTGGAGATTCAGAATAATTCATTCGGTGAATCAATGAACACTAAAGTGCAGGACATGGACTCTGAGAAGAGAGGTCCCTAGAGTCCCATGTGTTGCTGAATGAAAAGACCTAGGCCTTGTCCCTGTGTCAGTCTTTACCACCCAAGTAAGCAAAACTAGATATGCCCAGGACTTTAAACCTATGATGTTGCAGGAAACGAAAATAAAACAAAAACTTACCTGAGACATAGCTAATGCGCACTGTGCTGGAGCAGCGTTCTGATCAGCGACAGGGTCCTGGAAATGCAGAGCTAAGGAGAAGGAGGGAAACTTCAGAGCCCAGATTCTCGGACCCACTGCCACCCATTTTCAACCAGGTTCCTGAACAAACTCCAAGAACGACAGATTTCACCGTCCAAAGAAAACAGTGTTTAGCGTGCAGCTCTGGTTCCTAAAAATGTAACGGCCTTTTTCAACGCCTCAGTCGCCTACTCTGGGATACAACCATGCACACAAATAGTAATTTTAATTATGTCTTCTGCGTGCACGGACGCCAACATGCTGATTACGCGCGCACTGTTGCCAGGCTTACCCGCACCCGCCACCTCCAAACTCAGGCCGCGGCACCGGATCTGACCTGCACTGATCCCTGGGCCTCCAGCCATCCAGCTGGCCGCTCCTGCCCGGAGCGCCTTTGAGACGGGCCGCCCGGCCCCCACGCACACAAGCCTCACAATGTGCCATTATGACGTGGAGCTGGGAAAATACTGTCCAAGAAAGGAGAAACGGCGACGCTGCCCACTCAGGTCTCTCTGGAGCGCGCCAACCTGAAGCACTGGCCGCACCGCCTGTGAGCCCCGGTGGTTTCTGGGAGTAGGCGAGGACTCGTAGTGCGCATGTGCAGCCCCACGCCTCCGCTCCCGGAGACCGGAATCCTGAGGCGACCTCGGCTGAGAGACAAGGTACCTGTGGCATAAAGTACGAGAAGCGTGGGGTGGAGGCGGTTCCGCTGATGATCGAGTACGCATGCGTGAGCTCGGCCTTGGGGGCGTGGCTTTGTGCCCATCGGAGGTGTTGGGAGGATGCTGCGCCTGCGCACAGAGAGCCAAGCGGTTGCCTTCTGAGGGGTGCCGTGTTTCTCAGTACCAGGATCAGACTTAGTTGGAGGCTGTAAGAGGAGGTGAGGAAAGGGCCTAATGGTAATACATTGGCGTGGAAATGTGCTTAAGTTTGGGAAAGTGTTTGCTATGAGGTGGGTGGGACCATCCGGCGCCTGCTTTGGCGTATCTGATGGCTCAGTTCTCTGTGGGGTTAGGCCCATTCTCCGTGACGTTGTGTGATTTGATGTGCGACCCTATATGCATTTCTGTGGGTGTTTTGTTGACTCGTAAGCTGTCGAGTGTGTCTGCTGTGTGGCTTTTTATCTTTTTTTGAGACGGAGTTTCGCTCTTGTTGCCTAGGCCGAAATGCAATGGCGCGAACTCGGCTCACCACAACCTCCGCCTCCCAGCTTCAGGCGATTCTCCTGCCTCAGCCTCCCGAGTAGCTAGGATTACAGGTGCCCGCCACCACGCCCGGCTAATGTTGTGTTTTTAGTAGAGACAGATTTTTCTCCATGTTGGTTGGCTGGTCTCGAACTCCCCACCTCAGGTGATCCGCCCGCCTGCCTCGGCCTCCCAAAGTGCTGGGATTACAGGCGTGAACCCCCGCCCCTGGCCTGCTGTGTGATTTTTTATTAATTGTTTAATCTTGATGAGCTTCAGTTTGCTCGTGTGTGCAATGGAACAATGTTTCTTAGCTAATAGTGTTGCGAAAATGAAGTGGTCGTAAGTGTGCCTGGCACAGATAATGGGCGTGCAGGTTATTTGATTCTTAGTCATTGTTTTGAGTTATTTACCATCCCACATTGTGGATCTCTGATGGAAGTGTAAATTAGTTCCTGTCTACACAAAATAAATTGTTTGGAGGAGGCTCAGTTTACTTCCCTTCTCCAGCTCCGTTTTGGAGTAGGCCAGTTTTTGCCTCTATTTGCTGCTGCACATTATTTTAATTTTAATTATTTTTTTCTTTAAGAAACAGGGTCATCCAGGCATGGTAGCTCACACCTGTAATCCCAGCACTTTGGGAGGCCAAGGCGGGCGGATCACAAGGTGAAGAGATCGAGACCATCCTGGCCAACATGGTGAAACCCCGTGTCAACTAAAAATATAAAAATGAGCTGAGTGTGGTGGTGCGCACCTGTAGTCCCAGCTACTCAGGAGGCTGAGGCAGGAGAATTGACTGAACCTGGGAGGCGGAGATTGCAGTGACCCAAAATTGTGCCAGTATACTCCAGGCAACAGAGCCAGACTTCATCTCAAAAAAAAAAAAAAAAAAAAAAAAGGAAAAGAAACAGGGTCTCACTCTTTTGCCCACACTGGAATGCAGTGGCACCATCATAGCTGACTGCAGCTTCAACCTCTTGACATCCTGGGTTGAAGCTGTCTTCCTGCTTCGGCCTTCTGAGTAGCTGGGACTACAGGTAACTACCACCATGTCTGGCTGATTTTTAAAGTATAGGTGAGACCTCACTATGTTGCCCAGGCTGGTCTCAAACTCCTGGCCTCAAGTGATCCTCCCACATTGACCTCTCAGAGTACTGTGATTACAGGCATGAGCCACTTCAGCCAGCCACTTTAGTATTCTTGATCTATAAATGTGACTTTTTTAGGGTTGGGGAGGGTTCTCTTATGAGCTAGTTTTAACACATCACCAATTTTTCGCATTAATGAGTTAAGTAAACTCTTCAAGCTGTGTTTTTTGCCTATTAGAGTGCCTTGGAATTTTTTCTGATAGCTGACATGGTGTAAGGTGTGGTTGCGAGAGGGGAAGTGTTCTATAGTCTGCAAAATAATATATAAACTTAGGCACATTAAAATTTTAAAGAGTTTATTTAAGCAGACAGCAGTTCATTTCGAGTCCACATGCAGCTTAGGCCCTCTCTGAAGAGGCATGAGGGAAAGGCTTTTACGGGCTGAACTCAGAAACAAGGCAAATAAAATACTTGACTTGTTAAAGTATAGCCTTGTTTGGATCATTCCAGTGGAAAGTCAGTAGTTAAGAGGTTGATTGGTGGTTTCTGATTGGTTAAGGCCAGTCACACTGAGTTGGGTTTGGGTTTGCTTAGGTTGAGAATCCAGGGTACTGGAGCCACCTCAGCCTAATGACTTCCCAATTAATTGTTTCAACAAGTCTTATGGTAAGGTTTCAGTCTCTTAGCCTGTGCCCAGGGACTATGAATTTCACAAGTGCTTCTCAGTAAACCCCTCCCTCCTCTTAAGTAGGACAGGAGGGCAAGATGGGACCAGACTTGTTTCTTTTCCTTCCTCCAGGTCATTTGGACTCTGATAAAATCCCAAGAGGTTAGGCTCTGGTAAAATGGTTTCTCTGCAGCCCAATGAACAGAATGCTCTGGTGTATTTCAGAATGGCTACTCTTCCTCTTCCTCTGCCAGAACCAGCTGGGGACTTTTTGCAGATCTTTACTGTGGGAACCTGCTAGACTCCTTGGAGATAAAACTCATAAAAATGTAAAGAAACCTCTATGGCAGGGTCTCCTTGGAGTTTTCTGTTTTTGTTTAACTCTCAGACTTAACCACATTCAGCCTCCCAATTCATCAATTACATTTCAGGTTTTCCTAACCTTGTTCTGGTTCCTGAGAGGCACAAAGATTTCTGCTTTTGACTTTCTGCTCTGGTAAGTTGTGATTCTCTGTGTCTGCCTGACTGTCTCCAACTTTGGAGGCAGTAGCTTGTCTTGTGACCCCACTTATTTGACAGATATAAGAAGAACTGCTGATTTTTCAGTTTGTTCAGCTTTTTATTTGCTGTTAAGATGGAGTGAGGACTTCCAGCTCCTTGCTGGATCAGAAACTGGAAATCTCAGTAGTATCTTTAAACATGTTCACTTTTGTATCAATGTGAAATTCATTTTTTAATCTTTCATACAGAAAGTTTTCCAACTACTTGCCTAAAGGGTCAGACAGACATAATATTCCCAAAATAAAAATAGGGTATAAATGGTGCTTTGAAGTATTGTTGGGAAGAGCCTGAAAAACCATTAAAAAATAATTATTTCATCCAGTAGTCCTCCCCAGTGGAATCTAAAGAACTGTTACTGGATTCCAAGTCAAAACAATGCTTTGTTGAAACATTTTGATCATGGAGGAGTTTTCTAGGCAGAGGATGATGAAGCCTGTTCTTTTCAGAAGAACGAATGTATGGAATAGCCTAATGGAGTGGGAAAATGTAGGGTTCTTAGGGGAATCATAAATGCTTTAATATGGACAGGAAATGAGATGAGAGTGAAGGCATATGGGTAAGGAGATGTGATGAAAAGGATAGGAAAGCAGGAAAATACGGAGCTTGAGAACCCTTAGGTTCCATGCCAAGGAGCTCAACTTGATCACATGGTGCAAATAATTCATACCATGTTTTCTGAAATCCTGGGATCTTTTAGAGATTCAGCAACAGTTGGCTTTGATGTTCATTTCAAAAAGGAACCTATTTTTAAAAGCTGTGATTAAATAGAGTGTATACTCTACAATTTTTGTATTCATTGAGTGTACGTACCATCCTTTTGCATGGTTTGCATGCTGAACTTGGAAAAATCTCTACTAACTCTGCAATTGGTGGAGTTAGTTATCTAACGGGCAAGCTGTTAGATAACTGTTATAATTAACCCATGAATCTCTGGGGGTTAAAAATTTTTAGCTATTACATAATCAAAAGGAACTACAGAAAGAAATGGGTTAAAAAAGCCGATGAAAGACAAGATTCCATGTAAAATGTCATGGTAACTGTTGTGGTTTTATTTTCTTTTAAAGTTTGAAAACCGCTGTAATAGTTGTTGAGGTTTCACTGCTGGGTTTTAAGCTAGAGTAAGGCATGGGGCACATGACTGAGTGTACATTTTTTACAAAGAGTACATTTTTTACAAAGGGAATAGGACGGAAGGCAGGAATCCTATGAGAGGCTAGGGAGAAGGCTCTTTGTAGCCATTAACAGAAGAGAAATCTCACATCTGTCTGTAGTACTTCCTCTTCATCTCCCAGACCATAGCCTTGTCCAGGCTACAGTCACCTCATGGAAACTGAGTAGCTTCTTAATTGGCCTCTGCACTTTAGTCTAGATCACTGGGACATGTCCCTCTTCTACTGATAGCCTTTCCGTGACTTCCCGTGGCTCTTAGGTTGGGGTCTAAAATGCCAGCTGTGGTTTTCCAGGTTAGGGCTGGTCTGCTTGTGCATGTCAGTCACACTCCTCCCACAGTGCTCTCCCACTCCCTCCCTTTTCCCCAGCCTCCATCCTTCTTTCTGACTGCAAGCATGTCTAGACCTCCATCCAAAGTTTGGCCTTTGTACAAACTAGTTCTTTGACCTGGAGTCTCTTCATTTATTTTCTGTCTGGCTGACTACCTCTCATTCTACAGGACTTTGATTTAATGTCAGTTTCCCAAAAAGTCTTTTTTTCATTGCCCAAGAATCCGGGGTAGAATTTTTCAGTTTTGTTTCTCTGAATATCCTGTGTTTTTCTCTGTATCTCTAAGTATCACCTACAATCATCTATTTCTTTCTCCTCAGGATGGTTCCAATTACAAGGTAAGTACACTGAATGTTCCTAATGGTAAATTTTAGTTTGTGTGTATTTTGCCACAATTTCTAAAAACCCAAAATAAAATCTGTTGAGCAAATTCATAAATAATTTCCTGCTGGGTGCGGTGGCTCAAGCTTGTAATCCCAGCACTTTGGAAGGCCGAGGCGGGTGGATCACAAGGTCAAGAGATCAAGACCATCCTGGTCAACATAGTGAAACTCCGTCTCTACTAAGAAAATACAAAACATTAGCTGGGCATGGTGGCGGGTGCCTGTAATCCGAGCTACTCAGGATGCTGAGGCAGGTGAATTGCCTGAACCCAGGAGGCGGAGGTTGCTGTGAGCTGAGATCACGCCATTGCACTCCAGCCT